TTGTTTGATATTGATGTTCTCCCTAAATGTTCTAACAAATTAACAAATGCCCTTGCAGATCATTGACAAACCATTCTTGATGAAGTCTGCACTAAGCTCATCACCTCCAATTCCAATTACAAATAGGCATCTAACATCCATCAACAACATGTTACCTTCAAACCTGGAGATCTTGTGATGATTAGACTTTGCAAGGAATGTTTCCCTACAGGCACTCACTCCAAGCTCACAAGCTCAATCCTTATAAGTTTGGAACCATCCCCATTCTCAAGCATATTAATGATAATGCTTATGTTATCGACCTTCCCAATCATTTGCATACTCCTAAAATCTTTAATGTTGCTGACATTTTCCCATACCACCCGTCAGATGACCCTTTTAATGAAAATATTCAGGTGGAACCTGAATTTTCCATGGATGGGGCAACTTATGTGGTACAACTTAAGAAGGATGTACGCAAGACAATTGGACGCATCTTACACTTCCGCCTACCCGCAGGACCACCACCTCATATGCTCCACTTCCTTCTCTTAGTCGTTGTTTGCAGAATTAGTTATCCTAGTCACTACTTTTGTTAATTAGCAGCACTACTTTCTATTAGCTATCACTAGAATTATTTTTATTTAGCTTATGAATCTGCCTTAGTCATATATATACTGTTATAGAAATCAGAAAGGGATATACACATAATATACTTTTCCTGTTCCTCTATTTTTTCCTTGTTCTTGCGTGCGGGTCTTCGATTGCAGGTTTCAGTGCAGTCCTAAGTACCGGTTCAATACCACTTTGGTTGGCCCAATTAATCATGTTATCCCACAAGTGAGATCGTCTAGTTCTTTTCTAAACTAAAAGGGTAGATTTCATAACATTCATTGTTGATAAGAATAAGAAATATGATGGTAGAATTTTTTATAAAATTTAATTATATCTTAGTTATCCTATTTTTTTCACATTATGAAGTGCAAATTTGTAAAAATTTTAGAGAAATAATTGCTACATAATGCCTCTAATCAATTATTATAGTATTTTATAATTATGTAAATTTTTTTCATTGGTGTTCAAAGATGTGTTGCCCTGATGGTCTAAATTCTACATCTTTGTGTTTTTGGATCCTCCATTCTAGTGACCTTGATTCTACCTTTTAGAGTTCTTAGGTTCTCTTATTCCGCCACTTCTTGATGCTCTAGTCATGGATCTCCAAAATTTATCGTAACCTCAAGTCAATTATTAATTATAGTGATCTAGTCCCATTGTGAATGGTGAAAATATATTTCTCCAATAAAATAAGTAATTCAAACATTTTGAAGGTTTAAGGGAGAGAAATTATTGTGTTAAAGTGACTTTATGAGGAAGTAGAAAGAGGAAATCACATAGAAGAAGGAAATAAATACTTATAGTGGTTTAATCTACAAACATGCTGCCAAAACCCAACCCCATGTATATCGTTATATTGAAGCAAGTTGCATCATGTTGTCTTTGTAATAGTTGATTTAATTCCAATGATCTATTTGAAAGGAATTTCTTTCAAAATCAAACCACAAAATTTTGGTGACTAAACTAGGCATAAAAATAACTTAAAAAATTCATAGAAAAGTAATAAATACTAAATAAACATGCAAGTTTTACTAGATCTAAATCAAGTTAGCATAGTTAGTCCAATTATTTTATAAGTAGTAATTACATTCTTCCATCCTTAGAATAACATCATCATGAACATTCACCACTAGCTTGCAATTAAATATACATGGATAGAGCTATCACATCTCATCCTCTTTCTCCCATGTAGCCTCTCTATTTGATTTGTGTTCCAAATGAACTTTATCCATAGGGATCTACTTACTCTTGAGATGTCTCACATCATAAGCAAAAATATGCTCGGGTTCCAATCTATAAGTCAAGTCATGTTATATCTTAACTTCATTCTTAGGAACTATGTGCTTATGATCAGTAACTAATTTTCTTAGAAAAAATACATAGAATATATAATGTACATTAGACATAATATATGGGAGTAATAACTTGTAGGAAGATTTTCCAATTGTATTGATTAACTTGAAAAGCCCAATATATCTTAGGCTCGACTTTCTTTCCCTACCAAATCGACACAAAACCTTCATAGGTCTAACCTTCAAAATATAAAATGAAACTCAACCACCATATGCTTCAGATCATAATATTTTCTTTATGTATATTGTGCTACTCTCAATTTATCCTAAATTAATCTAATCTTCTCATTGGCATCATCCTTTAACTTAAAACCCATCAATCTCCTCTCACCCACCTCTGTCTAAGACAGAGGTGTCCAATAGCTTCAATCATTTTTAAAATATATATATTTTAAAAATTTTAGAAAGGGTTCTTTCAAATTTAAGATCAATCGACAAAAGTTCCTTTCTATGACTATAATTCATATAACAAAAAATATAAAATTAGCATTCAAAACAATGAAAAAAAAAACTAAAAGATATAAGTAGGTCTAACTATGCAATTAATTCAACAATATAGTTAAATTGTATAAAAAGTGGAATGCTTCACCGGCAACGGTGCCAAAAACTTGATGGGGGATGTGGAGTGCACTTTTGAATTATGAAAATGTTTAATGCTCTATCTATCCTAAATAATGCTTATGTTTTCTTTGATATATAAAAATAACAAACCCACTTAATATCGACAAGTATACGTGCCGAATCAAATAATAAAGTGATAGAGGTCAAAGTAAGAACTTTATGTTTATGGCGAAGAAATCAAATAAAAAAGTATAATACATATGTTTCCCTTCAGTCAAATACTTGAGGAGGTTATGAGAAAAAAATTTTAAATTCAAGTATGTTTGAGATAATGAGCCATACATTAGAAAATATTTATACATTAGACATAAGATCTAAAGACCAACAACAAACTTTCTTGTGACTCATTGTATATATAATCAAAGATAAGCTTATATCCACTAATCTTAATATGAAGTCAAGTATGATTTGACAAATAAAGTAAAGCAGGATGCTTTGATTTATCAAAGCATCCTTTTAGAAGCTATCGTTTGATTTGGTTATGCTACACAATAACAATACAGTGATGGACATTTAAAGCATGTATATTTCTTTTTGGGTGCTTGTAGTCAAGAATGCAACAATGCATGACATCCAATGTTAAGTGTACGTGGATGAAATATTCTTGAATACAAACTATGGATGACCTTTGCTTATGGCCATGACACAATATTCTAATACTCAAATTTATCCTGTAGCTTTTATAATCATTGTCCTAGAAAATAATGATTTATGATTGTATTTTATGAATTTGTTGATGGGGTTAATAGGCACAATGGAGAAGTTGGTGTTTATTTCTAATAAACACAATATTAATGTCAATGTTTTATCAGCCTTTTTTTTTTGCAGGCGCACTATAGAGATTGTACTCATAATGTTGTAATGAAAATCGTAATAAAGTTTTAAATCAATAATTGTCATGAAGAGTGTCACTTTGACTTCCAAGACAAATAGAAGAGTTCCATTTTTTAGGAATTTCGATAAAATCTGTGTTAGCATAAGAATTGACTTTGAGTGATGAGCTCATACTTTTCCATAAAATTAATAAACTTAATGACAAATGACATTTCTATGAGCTTGAACAACATGGTGCACAGTCCAATCTTATGACTATATTATTAGATCTTTTAAGGGAAACAATGCAAAAAATGGTTCTTTGATAGACAAATATTGCAACAAGCAAAAAAATATTTTAATGAAGAAAATAGAAGAAGCATGAGGGAAACTTGTAAATAAGGCTTAAAGCATGATTATATACCCTGTCAATTAAATTGAACTACATGACCTTGCGTACATCTTGAATTATTGATATTATGTGCCTTCAATACCATGCAAACATATATTGGCAACAACTTAGGACTGAGATGCTTGTTATTATTCCTTATGTTAAAAGTTATATACACAAAGTATGGTTAGCTGCATTGGCTAAAAACGTATATCCAGATAGAAAATAAGATGCGTGAAATAAGAACACATGTCTTATCACCTCCATGGGTGGATCTTATGAGTAGTTGTCCAAAAAAATTAGAAGGCCTAAGAAAAGGGAGAAGGATGTGGTTCAACATAGGTATAATAAATGAGGAGTTAAAGTCCATAATCAAGTTACTAGCAATCACTTTCATAACTTTTTTTTTTTTCATGTATCAATTATAATTCTTAAAATATTATTATTATATTGTTCTATAATATGACATGTTTGCTATGTTTCTATCACTCATATTAGTAAACTATATTGTAGCTATATTTTGTTGTATTATGTATGCTATGATCCCTCTTTGTTATATCAATCTTATTTGAACCTATTTTAACCCTATTTCATTATTATTTGATGTTATAATTGAGTTTGATGTGTTGTTTGTTCTAACCATTCTTTAAATTTGCTATATTATGTCAAACATTCAAACAACCTTATTTGAATATGTCATTCTATTATTTTATATTTTTTGAATAATTTCGTTTTCGAACATTGATAATTTCTTTTTCAAATAAGATTGATTAATATTTGATTAGAATTCGAAGAATGTTCAATTATGGATCAAATTTTATCTCATATGGATTAAATTTTTATCTCATTTGATCTCAATCTTGATCAAAATTTGATTAAATATGATGGATTAAAAATAACTAATATGCGATCCAAAGTCAGAGTATTGGATATGAAGAGAATTATAGGGCATATTTCCTTAAGAAATAAAACATTGAAGTTTTTCTTCAATTTTATGTATATTCAAATAAAATGTGATTTGTGATTCTTTCCGAAAATAATCTTAATTATCCACATGGCACTGCCAATTCTTCTCAAATTAAAGTGGTCTGCATGTAAGTTCTCTGGTTTTAGTTTTTTGCTTGCGTTTTTTTATTTGTATAATAGGCACCGAATCTAGCAAGAACGAGAAAAAAAAAAAATCATTTCAATTCTCTCATTTCGCACGTCCACCCCTATGTGTCCTCTCTCTCTCTCTCTCTCACCCCTTACGCACGTCGTCTCCTCTCTTCTAGAAATCGATACCTCTCATTGCTTAAATTTAGCCAATTCATCAAAAACAATTATTTATGATGATTTTTTTAAGTTTTCTACTCTGTTCTTTCTCTCTCCTTCGCGCTGTCCTCGGCCAGTACCAAGAATCCTCGAGACCTTTTGGTTTCGTTTATGGGTTTGGGCTAGAAACTCTCTGGTTCCCAAAACCTGGAGAGATCTGGCGATCTGTTACTGTGGAGGAGGGCTTTAGATTGAGTTATTTTTGGCTGCGTAGGAAGGTGGAAATGAAAGAATCTGGATTATCGTAGAAATTTCCAATTCAGTTTCCGACTTCAAGTATGTAGAGAACTAGAGATGCTGGTTAGCTCCTCATTCCTTCATTGATACGCAATTGTTTTGTGGTTATGCTATACTTTCATGAAATTGACTGTTGAGAATTTTATTGTTTGTTTGTTTCTGATTGAGGGAATCTACATCAGTTTGATTCAGTTTGTTCACACATCTAAATAGCTTTTACTCTATTTTCATATAACTCAATTATTTTTTATATTTCTCTCCATTTTGATGAGTAACGTTATATTTCAATGCTTGTCTGTTATTTAATAGAAGGGTACCTGAGATGATATACCAGACCTCATTTTCTTTCATCTTTAGTATTATCATTTTTCCTGTGACTTAAGTTTTATTTTCAATGTTTTACATTAATGCCTTGACAGATTTTTTGCTAGCGATTCCCTCATATTTAGGTACTTTTAATGGAATTCAGATTTGTTAAAGGATATCATAACTTCAAGGGAAAAAATTATGTCAAGATATTTTGATCTGTTTTATATCAGGATATGACTAATTTCAACCATAACGTATTTTTTAATTTCAACTATCACATTTATTGCTAAATACAACTAGGTTTAAAAGAAAAATACAAATAAATAATTAGATAATATAACTAAGTTGTTAGACATGTAGAAGTATAATTCAACTAAATTGTTTGTCAATTTGTCTAACAGTTTAGTTGTATTTATATTTTCAATTTACTTGTGTTTAGGAATAGCACGTGATGCATGATATCAATGACGCGTGCAATAAAAGTAGTCCTATCCAAATATAAATTGTATTAGAATATCTTGATAGAATTTTTAATTTCAAGGTATGAATACTTCATGAAATATTTATCACTTAATTGTTATTATCTCATTATTTCTTTTAATGCAAGCTGAATGCCTAACATTTTAATTTAATTTTGCAACATAGGATTAGGTAACACTACAAAATAAAAAATTTAGAGGACTTTTTGTAAATTAAACATCTCATTAAAGCATGGTGTTAATTCCACAGCTTCTTAGCATATTGAATGGTTGAATGAACTCAAGCTTGTATCTCAAATAATAAACAATTGTATAATTTGCTGGGAGGAAACTATTGAATGTGGTAAATAGTTAGTTTTGTAAGGGAGTCTTGATTCTTGGAATATGTTGCAATAAGCGGACTTGTACTTTCTTATAAATAATTATAGATATCTGGTGTGTAAAGGGTTTGAAGAATGATCGCCATTTTCTCTTGCACCCCATTTTTCTTCACTATTATGCTTTTCCTCTTTAGTTTTATATCTTGTTCTATGTTTTTTATTTTACTATTGTTGGAGCAGCTTGAAATACTCGAATGGGATCTAGTGTCCTATCATGGCTCTCTTTTGAGATTCCCTCTGTCTATAATAATCGGTGTTGTTCATTGTTGATTTTTCTTCTTTCATGTTAGCTTGTTGTTTCAAGCATCTCTTTTTGATTGGTTCAACAACCATGACAAAGTGTACACGCTCAACTACACTGACAATGGATGACTTCTTGACATGAATAAGCAAGATGGAGGAGCATATTCCTACTATTACCTTGCTCTTGAATCATACTACATGTTGATTGTTTAAACTGGGAAGCAATTGGGACCAACCATCTCATTCTACATAAGCAGGGGCGGGGATGGGGGCAGCAGGTGTGGGAGGGGGAAGGATTGGCGTCAGTTTGCCATGCTTTGTCATCAATAATACCCATTCCTTAGCTATACTTTTCCCTCATTTAGAAATTATTTCAATAAATATGCCACATTTAAATGGTGATAATCCACAAGGATGGATTTTCAAAGTAAAGAAATTCTTCTCTTACCATATTGATCAGAAAAACATTGGTTTTTAATTGCTTTAGTACATAAGGATGGCTGATCACCAAGTTAGTATTAGTGATTGAATTTGAATAAGTAGTTGAATTATTGAGGTTCTATTAAAGAAATTATTCTTTAGTAATTTATCCCTTCATTGTATCATATTCGTCAGAGTGAGTTAGCAAAATTAGAGCAAATAAAATTAGTGAAAGATTTCTAATCACTTCAAAGTACTTTTGAATCAAATTTTAAGTATTACAACTTCCTTTCTTCAAAGTTGATTTGAGCCAGGGTTACAACCAGATATTAGAAGAGAAGTATGAGCATTACAACCTCAATGCTTTCCACAAGCATTTAAATTTGTAAAATTAAATGGAAGATAAAATTGTTCATGATAGTTATTCTACGTTCGTATTGTGTCTTCCCATCCCGAATTCCATAAAAACATTTCTACAGCTACTTCCTACTCCGGTTCACTTGTGAGTGACCGATACATCAACAACAAAACCGGTTATTCCAATTCAAAGCTTAGCAACATCGCTACTAGCAACATCGCTACTAGTTGAAAGGAAATCCAAAGAAGTTTGTTTTCATTGTGACTAGAAGTTGTCACCGTGCTCACAATCGTAATTTCAAATTGCTCACTTTTATGGTGGCCAATGATGATAAAAAACCCCTCAAAGAATTATCAGCTTCATCCCTTGTTCAATTGGTTCAAACCCCAATATGGATTTTAGCTTCAATGTATTCATGTATCAACCCATGCCGAGAACACTATGACAAGTTTGAAAAATGTGAAATCAAGAAGTTCAATTTTTGATCAATAGTGACTCTAATCATAATTTTATTCAAAGCAGATTGGTTCAGAACTAGAATGGACCATCATTCTATCAATGTTCTTTAACATGTTATGCTGGAAATGGAGACATTCACCAATGCACTGGGTTGCATTCAAACTTACCAATCTATATTCAAAGACATTTGTTTCATTTTGATTGATATGTTCTTCCCATTCAAGGTGCAAACGTGAAGTTGAGAATCTAATGGGTACAACTGTTGAATCCAATTGTGTCTAATTATGAGGACTTAACAATGGATTTTATATGGTAAGACACGCATATTACAATTCATGTTGAACTCTCTTTCCTTCTATGCACTTTGGCTGCAACAATTTCAATGAATGTTATCTAGTCATAGTGTAGATTCATATTAACGAATTTTATCTATCTTAAAATTGTGAATGTCTGCCCTTATCAGCTTTATTAATACTTGTATTTTCAAAAAATGTTGATTGAGAAGATGGTGCAAGAAATGCTTAGTGCATATAGAATTTGTTAGGGTAAAATCTTCATATTTTTTTGGTACTCTAGAAAGATGGAACTTTACATTTTTGTCGAGCATCATGCTCTTAATCAAATATTGATATGAGGGCTTCGAAAATTCGGCCCAGGCCTTCCCCGCTGCTTCTTAGGGGAGAGTTTTAACGGATTAAGTTTCGGGGTAAATTTTGGGAAAACATGGGTTTGTAAGAAACTACCAAGAGATTTCGCCCTCATTTTGCGAGGACTTTATGATCTGAGTTCTAGTTTCCTATAGGCTCAAGCCCCTATAGTTAATTACCCCTTCCCGTAATGAGAGAGAACTTTCGATTAAGGCTAGTTGTCGACCAGATACATAGAGATACGCGGTATCTAACATATAGTAACAGCACGGGCTTGGAAATTGAAAAGCGGTTGATATTTAAAATTGGAAAATTCGCTATCTTGCACTTAAAGCGGATGGTGGGGGAATGGATGATGGACCCGATCAAGATCCCATGGTTCCGTCATCCCAGGTCATCGTGGTCCCTGGTCTACTTAGTAAGAGGAGGTAGTCCACCCAAACTGACAGGAGGAACCTTGTCGGCAGTAATGGGTTGCTTCGTCTAAGGGTACCTTGTAGACCTGGGAGTGTATTTGGCTAAGGGGTCAATTTGAATCCACCTTAGCTAACAAAAAGCTTTGTGCCCTATCGATCATATCATATTGATTCATATCTCAAGGATTTGATGTCACTAAGGAATGTATTGGTTCTGGCCATAACCGTAATTTAGCGGTGCCATTTGGTGGCGAAACCACTCGGTTCAGAGGGCCCTGGGTCATAATCGTTTATCCAGCAGTGTCCTTTGGCAGCAAAACTGTCGGTCAGAGGACACGTACCACATCCTTACTAGTAGGAGATTATTTGAGAATGGTTCATAGTAATATTTTTGATTAGACATTAGCTCTATGTGAGCTGAAGTAAATTCTAATTTGTTCACCCCGACTGCCCGACAAATTGCTGCAGAGGGTGGATGAATTTTGCTTTAAGTGATTTAATGGATAATTTCAATTTTAAGTATTTTGGATTTTGTAATTTTTGAAAATTTTGATTTTTTAGTATTTGGGTGGCATTTTGAATTATTTGGAATGGACCCCTTCGGCTGATATTCGGTTGATGCTACGTTTATGGAAGAGGATGTCAGGCTATAATTCCACTCACTAGATTGATCCTCCATAAATTATTTCTACATTTATTCACCGTGCTGTGATTTTTTGTAGAAGTATATTTAGACTATTCATGTTGGCATGAGGCTAAAGAATGCTTGAACTTTTTATACTATTGTATCAATCTTCCAATATTTCTGACTTCAGGGCAGTTTCATGTCTCGAAATACTTTGGCATAAGGGCTCGAAGTTTTTGCATTCTTCTGAGACAGCTTATATTTCTAATGTTTAAATCAGGGTCAAGCATATGAGAAATTATTAGGTGCGGAGTGAGGACGGTGTCCGGAGACCAATAAAAATGCGCAACGTCACCTCATTGGTGGGTACCCAGCTCAGTACCTGCACTCGGTACCGCTGGGTACCTAGTGCTTGTGCGGACGGTTCTCCCATCCGCACTCCGCACCTAATAATTTCGCATAGGCCATTGTTGCTAGCTAGTAAACATATGAATCGCATATCACTCAAAGTTTGAATTCACATTTTCTGGTATAACATTTAAGTACAACTGACATTGTTTTCCTTTTCTAATACATTTTTTTTATTGTTGGGCTTTCTGATGAATGCGATTTCAACAGATAAGAACTTATAAAATAACAAGAAAATCCAGTTCTCTATCACTAACCTTGAGATAGATATGAGTCCAGTCCATATATCTGGACCCTGCTTGCACAATATTATGTCAAGTGCTAGAGCAACTGCTACTTCTGAAGGAAAATCTGGAACTGAATTGGGTGAAAAGGCAACATTCGATCCAACAAATGGGGCTTCCACTTGTTTATCCAAGAATCCGTCTCAGGATGTTTGCTATTTATCAGATTGCTTACCTTCTAGCCAAACCTTGTACCCTAGTCGTTGTCCAAGTTCTAAACCTCCTACAAGTTTAGAAACAAAGTATGGAAAAGCATCGAGCAACCAAGTCAAATTAGACCCACTGATTGTGGATAGCGCCACTTCAGAGAAATTTTCCTCTTCATTAGGAGGCTCTGATCCCTTTCCGAACCTTCATCCTAAAGCTCCTCTAAAAATTGAAAACACTTCAAAAGTATCAAACAACAAGAAAAAAATGTTTACCGCAAGTGAGGATGGAACTAATTTGGCAAAGAACCCGAGTTCAACTTTAGACCTTTACCGTAACCCCTGTCTCAGCCCTAGTTTGGAAACTGCATCAACTTCAACAATAAACTTAAAATCATTCATGAAGCAAAGTGATGCAAATACCATTGATGATGGTACGACTACCACTCGAAGTAGCTGTGGCAGTCCACAAAGTGACAACTTGAATAGCTTCTCTTCTGGGACTGCTCCTGTCAAGCGACATACTGGTTATGATAGTGGTTGGGAGGCAATCCAACTAGCTAGTTCAAGAGATCCACCTCTTGGACTTGGTCATTTCAAACTAATCAAGCGCTTGGGTTTTGGTGACATCGGCAGTGTTTATCTTGTTGAACTTAAGGACACTGGTGCATACTTTGCAATGAAAGTTATGGACAGGGCTTCTCTTATCAGTAGGAATAAGCTGGTCCGAGCGCATACTGAAAGGGAGATCCTTGGCCTTCTTGATCACCCCTTTTTGCCAACGCTTTATTCTCATTTTGAGACTGACAAATTCTGTTGCCTGGTGATGGAGTATTGTAGTGGTGGTAATCTCCACTCTCTCCGGCAAAAGCAACCCAATAAGTATTTCAGTGAAAAAGCTGCTCGGTAAGTTTTTTCCCTATCCCTTTGCTTTCACTATTCGATTTTGACATAATAATGATCATCAGAGGCTAGAGAATTTTATCAGCTAAAATAATTGCATCAGTTTTCCTGTTGCACAGTTCTACTAGCAATGCATATTTGGTATTTAATGACAGGTGATGTTTTCTTTTTTTCCATTTTAAATCTAACCATATAAATGTACTTTATTCAGCTTTACAACAATTACACGCGGGCATAAGCATTGTTGAACTACTTAAGTTATATACATCATTAATTAATATCATGAAGGTGAAAAGAAAACTTATTGCTTTGGCTTTAAATGATAATTCGGTACACAGTCAAAGAAGTACGAATGCAATGTTGTGTGACATGATTTATTTTTTTGGAAATTTGGAAAGGAAAAATTTGTGGCCTAACCCAATTGAAATAGTTTCTACTAAGTTTAGTCTTGAATTATAGAGGTTCATCCTTCCCCAAACTTGGAGAAGCACTTGTAAAATTGAAAAGTCCTGAATCATGAATGCGAGGCAATGAGGTGAACTGAAGTCAGTAAACAAGTGTAGATGGTCATAACATTCTCTCTCCTAGAATAAGGGGGAAGTTGGCAATATGAAGAAAACATAACATGATGGATCCAGAAAAACCTAAGACTACTAGCTAGCACTTCAGGCAATGACCAAACCTCTAGAATTATCCATGATTCAAGGATTTTACTTTTTTTTTTAGATTTCTAAAATCTATATAAGGCCTATTTATAGATTATAGGAGGGGCATTTAGCCCTTTGTACTATAACCCTTCAAATACATGTGAAAATTGAATGGTCTAAATCAGCACCCTCTCCGTATTTGAAAGGTGGTATGACAATCTCCCACCGAAGACTTGCCTAGGCTGGGTCCTATTTGGGGGCCAACAACGATGGCTTAATGAGTGTTATTGTCAATTATGTCATCATTCGTTGAATGAAATAATACCATCTGAAGCTCTTGACACCATGAGTTCCATGGATTTGATGTATAAAAAATTTTCATTTTCTAGAGAATGCTTTCAGATCAAATTAAAGGCTATCAAAAAAGGCACCGATAGGTTAATGGTGAGAATGGCTCGTGACTTGAAGGTCTACAGAGACCGCATGAAATCTAGGAACTTCAAGCCTAAACGAACAAACTCTACAATGTTGGCATGCCCAACCTCAATTGGATACCACCACATGCTTGCAGAGATGTGTCAAGGACGGATCAGCCTCAATTTTATTGTGTACTCTAGGGCGCCTGATCCACGCACATCATCTACATTTGTGGGGAATAAAGGACCTAACTAGTTTCTTTTTTAAACCAATTTGATTAATTTAGACCTACTTAATTTTGGGAATTTGTGTTGTTGGCATTATTATTACAATATAACCATCTTAATCATAAATTTGTTAAATTCAGAATCTGTTTGGTTTTAGAAATAAATTTTGGATGTTGATTTTTCATTTTGGTGTGGTTAAACTTTATCATGCCGGGTAGGTCTACTATGGAAGCTATTTATTTATTGAGAGAGTTGACGGAAAAGTTAGAGAGAATAAGGAGGATCTACATATAATATTTATTGATTTAGATAAAACATATGATAATGTTCTAAGAGAAGTGCTATAATACTCGAAATTTTGTTCAAAAGGTAAGCATACAAATTTCCCTTATGTTCTCACACGTAGAAAATATCAAAAATATTTTCATCAAATTCGATATTTAATTTTGAGTAATTTTGGTATAAATATATCTTAAATGTCTATGTATACGTATCCGACATGCATGGGCTGGATGGAGCTTAGATAGCTAGAATGTTAGTGGAATTGTAGTGGAGAATGCACTATCTTATAATAATATTATATATTATGGTAAAGCACTAGTAGACCTTATAAGCTCCCTTCATTCCTTTCACTGCCCATCACCTGGAATTGAAGCAGCGGGCAAGCAAGCTGGGTAATAGTAGAGGATTCGGCTGCTAGATGGGGGAGAAACTAAGTGCTGAATCAACAATTAGCGTAGGAGAAGCTGCAGTTCAGGTATTTCTTTCTCAAGTAATGAGGGATATAGAAAGGAAATAATAGTATTTCTCAAGCAATATTTTCTATAAGAGTGTGTGCAAGCAAATTAGTGAGGAATTTCTGAATGCAGGAATGCATAAATTGTGGATTTCTGTCAATCATTTTGAATGTTGAATGTGAAAATCAATAGAAAAAAGGGGTAAGACTATTGTCAAGTTAGCTGAAGGGAAGAATAATTTTTGAAATTAATGTTGCTGAAATCAGTTAGTTATGTCCGAGTTCATGATGGTAGACTGCTTGAAATAGGAAAGAAACATAGAAAAGATTACTATTTAATGAGGAGGAATTTAGCTGAGGTAAAGTAGTAAGATATTTATATATTTTGTTCCTTTACTTTTTTTTACATGTGCAAATAAAGAATTATATGTTGTAGGTAGTGTACAAAAGAAGAAAACAACAAGAACGAATCCCAAGTGAGGTGAGATATCTAACTGATGCATAAGCAACAACAAAAATTTTATATCACTGCTAATTGATATTAATTGTCATGTTTGTGATAGCATTAGCATTTCTATTATATACTAGCATGTATTCCCATATCATAACATGTATTTTTGTCTATTTCACTTTATTCACATGTTGTTTTACTAGTGATTATATTAGAATGAATGATAATCTTTGACATAAGAGAAATTGAACTCTAATTAATCCGCATGGGTCATTGACTCACAATTACAATAATTACAAATCCATTAATGTAACCCAGTAGGCTTCCTATGGAATGCTTTTTGGCAATGACATTTAATTCCATCACAAGGAATTTCCTAATGGATGCTAGCCAGTTGTAAGTTAAAAAATCATTTATATTCTTAGCAACATTAAGGATTGTAGTAGATGTTCGAAAGTTTTCCATAGGAAAAAAAAAGGTTTGATAGTAACTAAATTATGAATTTCTTCACAAGATCTTCTGACAGAGTAAAAACATCCAGACTTTCAATCTCATGCCTAATATCATTTATTATTTTCCCATTTATTCAGACACTTTCCGACAAGGTTTAAAATTGCGTAAATAAGCCTCATGGCGTTTTTCGTCCGTGAGGCAAGGTGTAAGCCTCGAGACGGTGTGAGGCGTAAGCCTCACAGACGAAGAATTGCGTAAATGAGAATTTAAGGGTTTTAGCAGGTAGATAACAGTAAGAGTCTATCATACAATAAGTACATCTAAATGATAAGTGAAATTAGTAGAAAATAATAAAATAGTTGCATTATATGCATCGCATAGTATAATTCAAAGTACAAAATCATAAAATATAAGTTTATCAAAACTCCCAAAGTACAAATAAGAAAGAACATATAAAATTCAATAATGTCCCATCACTAAATGGGTCTTCAATGGAATGTTTCTCCAATTGTATCTATGAATGTCATATCTTCATCATCTTCAATGTTACTCACTTATCTCTTCCATGTTCAATAAGAATGATTATTGTCATGTTAATTGCCCACTTGATATATATATATATATATATATATATATAATGTAATAGCATATAAGAAGTTGTGGAATACCTTTATTTTGTTGTTGTGCTGCAGAACTAGTGGATGTGTGTGGTGTGGTATTAGTGGATGTGCCCACTAGATCTACTTCGCCCCTCAAGACATCCACACTTAGATCCTCTAGCAGCAAATCTAATAATGACAAATATGTCTCGTCAGCTATGAACCATTTATTATTAGATGCCACATCATCATACATCAACGAATCCTCATTATCCTTCAACCCCTTGTTCCTCAACCTCCTATCTCTCAACCTCTTATTGTGCATAATATAAATAAGGGAGTTTATTGTGAGTGTTGAAAGTTGATTTATTCTCTTTGTTTGCACTTGACTATATGTACTCCAGTTTTGCTCACACCTAGAGGAAAAACAAGTGATGCCCAAAATTCTAACCGCAAAACTCTATAACTCAGGGGTGGAAACCAAATTGGATCCACCATTCAACTATTTTCAAGAAGAAAAATGATAATCAGAATATATTAAAGTGTTATGCATGTACATATACTTTGCAAAAATAAGTATACCTTGAGAGTGTTTGACAATAGTAGATTTTGCTGCTTGCAGACCAAAAAATCCCTCCCTATTTCGAAATAGAACAAGTTCTAAATCTGCAAGCTCCCTGATGGTCTGGTCTGGTATTAGTCGTTCCATGCAATGATACAAGCCAAGCTTCACCTTCGGTTTTGAGGATTTCCTCTCTGAATGTTGAAATTGAGGATTGAGATAATGCGCCGCTTCATGTAGATAATAGTGTAACTGGACCTCCCACCGAGCATCAATAATATCCCAAATTTCTCTATAACTTGCCTCCTCTCCTCCCAAGTTATGTGTAATCAACTCCTTTGCCTCATCCATTACATTATATATAAAACCCATGGCTGGTTTCTTCTCGGCATCCACTAAACATAAAACTTGTACCAAGGGTCTCGTGCTCAATATGGTATAGGTCATACTTGCCCAAAATTTATCATTTAAAATTAGCCTTTGTATTTTCTTCCCCTGAGGTTTCTTGCCCCCCTCAGAATTAAGTCATTGTGTTGATGTAAACATTGCTTCAAGAGGTTGTCACACATCCAGCAGGCTTTGCAGTATTAAATAAGATGTGGCAAACCTGTAGAATAAACTTGCATTAGGAATTGTAGTGAAAAATTTAATATGTAATGCATGAAAGGTCTAATAACGAACCTAGTGGTAGCAGGGCGAATGATTTTCTTCTTTGAAAACTTTCTCATTAGTGCTAATACCCATGAGTGGTTGTAGATGAACTTTATGGTCTTCTTCGTCCTAAAAAAGACGCTCTTGTGTTGAGATAAATCACCAAGTTCCTCCAATATAAAATCGAAACAGTGTGCTGCGCAGGGGTCCAATAGAGGTGTTTCCTCTTCTCCATCAATATCTGACCAGCTGCTTTGTATGTACTGGCATTGTCAGTCACCACCTGAACAACCAATTTCTCCCCAATCTCCTCAACAATCCCATCTAGTAAATTGAAAATGAATTCAGCATTTTTAACCTCATCTAAAGCTTCAATGGATCGTAAAACCACCGTGCCGTAGGGATTGTTTACAAGGATATTAATCAAGCTCCTGCTCTTCATGTCAGACCATCCATCTGATATAATGGTAACACCACTCTCACTTCATGTCTGTTTAATCTCATCAATACTCTGCTCTGTGTTCTGCAGCTTCTCCTTCAAAATCCATGTTCGTAATTCGTACATGGAAGGTACCTTCAACCCTCTCTCATACAACCCTACAGATCACAACATATTGAAGTAGGTCGACGATGTCGCAACATTAAATGGAATGACATTCTCAAAAAAAATCTTCCAATGTCCATGCAAACCAAACGTCGACCCTCTCTGGTACTAGCCGCAGGCATCATCTGTGCTTGTCCTCTATCCTCTCCTGCATTAACCATATATTGGTTCATAGGACCTCGCGCACCTCTATTATGCATAGCGGAGGAAGAGCTCTTTCCACTCTCGCTCCTATAGTAAGCACCATGTTCGACCCTTTCATCAAATTGCTCATATTGTAAATGTTTGGCCGTGGTACTCTTCTTCATGTAATCAGTAATTTCTTCCACTTTATCTGGCACATTCGCACAAGGTGCTATATGCTTATGTGAGTCGGATAAGTGTTCCTTCATGCGAGTAACTTCTCCCTTCACCATCTTATCAACAAAATTATATTTTAAATACACATGTCTTCTCGCCGCCTCCTACATCAACTTGCACGTTGTATTTCCAAGAAGGGTCACGCCGAAATGACGTATTTGTCTTTTCCTTTCCCCTAACTATGTTTCTTAATGCACAAATGCAAAAATATATAAAAAATCTCAAAAAATAGAAAACTCTAGATTTTCTATAACTTGAAATTTTTTTTCTTAAACTAAAAAAAACCTAAAACTAATAGTGGAGTGCTTGTAGAGGGCGGCCGGACCCTATAAACTCACAGGCGTGAGGTGGTGCAGGTAGGAGAGGCGGCATAAAGGGAACCAGAGCGAAGGATTTGCGAAAGGAATTAGGCTTACAGGAGAAGTTCCGTTCAGTTCAGGATAGCCGAATGTAAGAATAGATGAAGTAAGGCATTTTAAGTAGAAATTTAAGTATGTGGGACCCGGTTTCAAGAGGCGTGCGCCTCACAAGTAATTGCGCAATAGTGCCTTAGAGGCACGCCTCAATGACCATGAGGCGTAAGCCTCACCTGGACCTAAAATTACTTAGGAAATGAGGTTCTTGGGGGCTAAATTACGAAAAGGCACGCCTCTAATTGCGCAATTTTAAACTATGCTTCCCGGCACAAATTTAGCACCTTTGTTGGGCAGTCCAAACATAAGAGCAATCTCATTTGAAGTGAATTGTACTCTCCATCCTTTGATAACAAAAGACTCCTTCCGGATCTCCCACTTGGTCAGCAGCATATGCACCAGGGGAACATTCTGACAGCATGAAGGTAATACTAGGAATTGATTAATGTTGAGCTGCCTAAGTCTATTAATGAATTGTTGGCCGAATGTAGTAACCAAATGATTGCAAACTTCTCTAAAAAAAAATTTTATTTTTGAACCTTTGGTGGAATTAACTTTAAATTTGATGTTGCATATGTTGATGTAACTCTCTTAATTTCATCATTATGAGTAAGAAAATTGAATAGGTCCAAATAATTTTCTTGATTATCTACTCTAGATGACTTGTTATGCCCATGGAATGATAATATTTGACATAAGAAAAATTGAACACAATCAATTGTTGCAGTCAACATAATCTTATAATCTTTTTTTCTTATGGTCTTTTTGCTCAACTATAAAGCAGAAAGATTATGTTCTTTAACTTTTCATTAAATATGCATATTTTTGTCTATCTTTATTGTGTACACCATTATGCTCTTGAACATATATTAATAGATTTTCTTTTCCCTTCCAATTTCTGAAACATTTTTCAAAAAACGAGTTTCCACCACCTTGGCCTATAATAATTTGTCCTTGGGGATTGAACATGTAGCAGTAAAGATAAAATACGTCTTTTTACACGATGTATTCTAATCAACCAGGATATTCCTCAATATATTTTTGAATTAAATCGACGTGCTACATTTCCAATTAATGTTTGAAGGAAATTATGTCTTTTTGGTTGATGGGGTGTTCCTTCAACAAATATGATCTTCTAATTTTATCTCTCTAATTCACATCATAACTTCATATTGAAGGTCGAAGACCAGGATTTACAAGAAGATTATTAATAACAATCTCTATATGTTATTTCCTCTTTAAATAATGTTCCATTACTTATATTCTAGAAAATAGGAGTAACTTTAACGTCAAAATTTTCTCAGAACATCAATACTATGAAATTATTCTTATATAGAGTTTAGAAGCATGTGAGACTAACAAATGAAATCAATAAAAATCACTAATTACCCAAAAAGTTAAAGTGTAGCTCCACTAAATATCTTCATAAGCTATTCTGCATTGGAGTAGCAATCAACATTTACTTCCCTTTTGAACTTTTAAAAGATTCATACGTTCTTATACTTCGTTTATATGTCTTGCTAAACTAGTCAACCAAGTTTATCACCCAAATTCAAGACAAAGAAATGGAGAAAAGATTCAATAAAACATGTAAAAAGGGGTGCTTTGAAGATTTGGGTACTTTGGTAGCAAATAATTTTATTTTATAAACATTTTGTTTTCTTATTTTCCTGGCAAATTGAAAAATTTTTCCCCTAAATCTTCGTTATAAAATTATTTTGCTATTGCCTTATACTGAATTATGAAATTTATGCTAATTTGTAAGAAACTCTTTATTGTTGGTACTTCTTAATAGTATTATATGAAATAACATTATGATATTTTTACATAAAAATATCAGCATTAATGCTATTAGGAAAATCATACAGAGATACCGATAGTTGCTGCAAAGAGCTTAAATCCAAACAAATAGTCCATATTTCTTTCTTCTTAGCAATAACATAAACAAACATTTTGATTTTAGATATACTTTTGTTAAGATTTCTTAAAGAAAACTAAATTTATGGCATTAAACAATGTTCATTTTGTTATGAGAGCAAAATCAGTTGCTTAATAAATTAACAAAGAATTGATAAATGATTTGTGGACTTAAAAAAATCCACAAACAGATTCAAGTTGTGCACCTTGGCTTCGCTGCTCTCTGAAGTCAGAATGCCTGAATCGACGATCAGTATGTAGGCAGGGGCAGACTGCGGACAACGTGATCTATGTTGAGAAAGACATAAGCGGGAATTACAAAACAGCCCTTCGTATGAACTTAACATTTATTTTGAGGGTGGCCATTTGCCCACCCACCCTCAACACAGTTGGGTTCCGCCCCTACTTGCTTTTAGTTGAAGGATTATTTTGAATTTTTTCTCCATAAACTTCAGCATAAATCCTAACTACTGAAGTTTGAAACCATAATCATCGATCATGGCTACATGTATCTATAAAGATGATCGATTCATATTTATAAGCTTTGAAGCTTCAATTGTGATAGATCATCTTCAAAGATGCTTGAATCTATAAGATATTATAATTGTTCTTCGAGCCATGCTTTAGACTAGTGCTTCAATCCTATTCGAAGATGGCCATATTTACCCTACAGCAAACTCTTGGAGTGACTATAACAACAACATCAAGCCTTTATCCCACTACGTGGGGTCGGCTACATGAATCCTTTTTCTCTATTTTATCCTATTAAAAGTCAAATTCTCATTTAAATCTAATAAAGAAAGATCATTCCTAATATTTTCTAACCAAGTCTTTTTAGGTCTGCCTCTACCTTTCTTCACATAAGTCAAATCTAATACCTCTACTCTCCTAACCGGGTCATTGGAAGGCCGCCATTTTATGTGACCAAACCATCTAAGACGACTCTCTCTAATCTTATCTTCTACTGGAGCTACTCCAACCTTTTCACGTATATGCTCATTTCTTAGGAAACTCTTGGAGTGACTAAAGAAAAAAAAACCAGTCCTCTCCTTTTGAATGTGGGTTTCAATATTATAATGCAATGTAGTGAAAACTATTTTAGTTTATTTTTGAAGTAAACCAAACTCGCCCAGTTTTGAGCGTGAACCATTTACACCCCATGCAAACTCGCTTTAGCACTGCCCACCACCCCCGCCACCACCCACTACCCGCAACCACCGCTGACACCCCCACCGTCTACTACTGCCGGCCACCACCACCTGCCGCCGATCTTTGCCACCACCAGCTGCCGGCCGCCACAGCCACCGTTGGTGCCGGACACCACCATTATCACCACCATCACCGCCACCACCTCCTCTACCGACCGCCACCATTTTTAAACTTTACACTATATTCATTATTTCAAACCAAACAAAAAAATCATTTATTTTCTTTTACTGTACATTCATCCAAATGACTCTAAAGTATTTCTTTTACAGTGCATTTCTTTAACATTACATTCTTTTTTTAGCCAACCAAACAACCCTTATTTAAAAGCTTCAAAGCTCAACCATATGAATAGGGTCATTTAGTTATTTATTAAACAAATATATGCAAGCATTGCTCGATTACTACACTTTCTACTTCCGTGATTCCATCAGTCATTCCCTGACCACCACCGCCTCTGTGTTATATATAATAACATTAACATGCCACCTCTTTCTATTGCACATGTTTCAGTTTTTATGCTTCAGAAATTCTGCTTGCGCTCGAGTACTTGCATGTGCTCGGTATCGTATACAGAGATTTAAAGCCTGAGAATGTGCTAGTAAGAGAAGAGGGTCACATTATGCTCTCGGACTTTGATCTTTCGCTCAGATGCACCGTCAGCCCTACACTTGTCAAGTCTTCCTCTGTACCAGGAAGAAGCTCTGATGATCTGCGAGGGATGCTTGATGGAAATAGAGCTGTGCAGGGATGCCTCCAGCCAACTGCATTCTTCCCCCGAATCCTGCCTCTAAGGAACCGCAAGTCAAAATCAGATTTTGGCCTTGCTGCAGGGGCTTTGCCAGAGCTAATGGCCGAGCCGACGAATGCTCGCTCCATGTCCTTTGTTGGGACGAATGAGTACCTCGCCCCTGAGATCATACGTGGAGAGGGCCATGGCAGTGCAGTGGATTGGTGGACCTTTGGCATCTTCATCTATGAATTGATCTATGGAACGACCCTTTCAAAGGTTCAGGAAATGGAGCTACCCTCTACAATGTTGTTGGTCAGCCATTAAGATTCCCTGATGAGCCAGTGGTGAGCAGCAGCACACGAGATCTCATTCGAGGCCTCCTTGTTAAGGATCCACAAAGGAGGATAGCATATCGCAGAGGAGCAACTGAGATAAAGCAACATCCTTTCTTTGCAGGTGTTAGTTGGGCATTGGTGAGAAGCATGCAGCCTCCTCACATACCTCAACCTGCGGAATTTGGGCAGTTTTCAAACAAGCAGGTGAATGCCAAAAAGAAGTCTACCAATGAACGTGGAGGCAAAGACAAACAAAATTGCACTGGATACATGGATTTTGAGTATTTCTAGGTTGTGTCTATGCCATTGCTTTACTTTCTCTTATAGGAACAACGAATTATTAGGTCCGGTCACCTTACATAGAAATACATCCTGATTTTTCTCTATCTACAGTAAAGCGTAGTCAAAGCACAGTCACTGTAGCAGCTGCGCTTTTACTGTAGACAGAGAGAAATCTGGATGCATCTCTCTGTAAGGTGATCAGACCTAATAATTTTTTCATAGGTACAGGACGAATACATTCTTTGTTTTATATTAATAAGAAATTATATTTGGTGAAAGATGAAATTCATTTGTTCGTAAGTCTTTTTAGCTGGCCTAGCTTTTGTTGATGTCTATTTCAAAGAAGAGGAGTTTACAGGTTGTAAGAGAACATGTATACACAATGAAAAGTTTATATTCATGAAACTTGTTGTATAAAGAACTCATTGTATATGAATCTGCCTTGTTTATTTGTGTATTAGATTAGCGGGCCCAAGGGGATTATGATAATTTTTTCTTCTTCTTTTGCTTATATGATTATTTCATTTTTTTTTTTCAAACTTGTTTTCATCATAGGTAATTGATGTGAAGTACACTATTAAAGGTACACGAAATAAGTGTATCATTATTTAGTTTAATATAATTCTAATTTTAATTGATAGTTAAAATGAAAAGTTAAAAATATTCCAATTGAAATATAGCAATTCTTCAAAGCCACTATATATCTATATTTATATCTATGCTACTTATAAACATCTCTTCTGATTATTTTAACATGCAGATGTTTGTTTGTATTTTTATTTCATTTTGAATAATGTGCAGTGTTATTATATGCCTAGTATTCACACTGCAAAGTGTTATAAACATATAAATCATTTTTACTATAAATGATAGAACAAAATATCATTCAGGTGTGTGTATGTCTTTTTCAACAGTGCTCGCACGTTCGATGGAAGGAATGGTCATGTAGCATATGCATATATACGCCTTAAGAAATCAATGTTATTTTTTGAAATTAATACGAGCTTCATATGTGAAATTTTGATATGAGAAGTATGATTTGTAAATAAAAGAGTAATTTTTTTATTGTTGATTCAAGTTAGTAGAAAGTATTGTGATTTTAACTATTTTCAAAATAGTAAAAGTAGTATAAATATATAATTATATATTATACAAGTGGATTTTATAATTTACCCTTTTTAATAGATTTTAACTCACATTTGTTGCTAGTGTTGATGTCACACATTACACCTTATATTTATGGGTTATAATGATTATTACACAAATATATCTGTCATATCAAGTAATATAAGATAAGTTGAGTATTATTCCCATGAAATTTAGAATGATCTAAAAAACAATCACTTTTCTACTACTTATATTGATTGCAAAATTTATCTTATCACAAAAAAAAAAAAAAGTTGTGTTGATTAAGGTAGGCAACTAAAAATGACTAAAGGAAATGTTATGTGTATAAAATACTCTAAACATATGATACATAAAAATTCATGTGTACAAAAATTGATCTCCTAGTTTGGTATTGTGAATCAGAATATATGTAACTCCTCATCTCTATCGAGGTTGTCGGTGTCCCTTCGCTATAATGATACTATTATATTCCAAAATTCTATCCAACATATATTTATAAATGGAAGAATTCTATTCTAATTCCTCTAGTTGATTCCATCGAGCCTCTGTTGAGGACATAGATCGCACTAGATTTTAACTTTGTGCAAGTCTCATACACAAATTAAATGATGATTAGATGAACTAGAAACAACTTTGCAATAATTAAAAGAACTAAGATCTAATCTAAGTAAATATACATTCTTAATATATCATAAGCCTAGAAATAAATTTAGCCTGACATTAAAAGTAAAAAGAACACACCAACTTCATTTCAAATATTAAAATCAAATACAAGAAAAGAGTTAAGGATAGATAAAATCAGGAGACTTTTTGAAATAGTTAATACAAACACTCCTTGTCTTTTGGACTTTTAGTCATTTGCTCTAACTCACACCCACTCCCTACTAAATTCTACCAAAGATTGAGCATAAATGCAAAAGTGGCCAGCTAAAATTCAGCCATACTATTTATAATAAAAATAAATAACTGACTCTCGCATCACAACGCTAAAAGTGATAGTGTTACGGAACTTCTAAAATGAAATAAAGCAATGGTGCTAATGAAGTACTCTCCTGTGACACTCTAATTGAATTGACATGTCATTTTTTGAGAGAAATTGAATTAAATGCTCTACCACAGCACTAGGGCATTTGGTGTTCAAGCACTTTGGATGGCACTATAGTGCTTGAATGGCATTGCTATGTCGTGGACTTGATACTATGGTGCCCAGCTCTCTATTTTGGAGGCCATAATTTGTCATTGAATGTCGTGATGCTCAAAATTCTAGCACTGTGAAGTTAGTTCATTTCTTCATTGTTCATCCTTTTCTTAAAAATTTCTAGCACAAAAATACAAAATGAGACAATTTTAAAATATTAGAGGATAATTTAAAATATAATAAAATTTTCACTAATAAAATCCCCCAAACTTAAATTATTACTTATCCTCAAGTAATCTACAAGCACTTTATTAAAAGATAATTTTAGTTTTTTGGAATGTAAACTTTTGAAATTTTAAAGATCCATTAAACATATGATGCTAAAATCAATCCCAGAGCATTATTTGCCTGTGACCTTCTAATCCAATTGTTGGATTGCCTTAGATTGGAAGTTTGCTTCATAATTGGGATTTGCTAACTAATTCCAAATGTGATTTAGAAGTTTTTGGCATAGATCTGGGACCATGGCAAGGTCAAATCATGTATAGGTTTATTTAAAGTTCATTTAGGCCAATTTAGGGATCAATGAGGTCCTAGTAAACCATGGCCCACCAAGAGCTCAAACAAGTTTAGGTATGTATAGTTTAATATTTTAAATGGTTTAGAAACTTTAGTGAGATTTAGAATAGGTTATAGGAAATTTTTAGGGTTTATGGTTCAAAGGGCCTTTAATGGTCAAAGTTACCAATTAAGGGTCAACCAAGCCCATTCAAGGGTTCATTTAGGTATATGCACGATCAAGGATGATTATAAGGTGCCTAGGGATCAATCCTAGGGTTTAAGTTGAACTTTATAAGAGGTTTCATGCATAATGTAAGAATTTATGATTTAAGGATTTCCTTGGTCAAATTAGTTCAACCTAGGTCAACCAGGGTCAACCATAGATTCAAGTGAGTTAAAATCATTGAAAGGATGATTTTGAACATGCTTAGGTCAATTGGGAATGTTAACAAGGTTATTTGAATCAAAATGTCATTTTTGTGACATAAGTTGTAAATATTTAAAGGTTTTTTATGCTTGATCGAGGCTTTGGGTTTTAGGGTTTACAAGATTATAAAAGCTTCCAAAATGATTAGGTAGACTCTAAGGATATATTTAATCAATATGTAAATGACCAAATATAATTTCAAGGGCTTTCCCTAGGGTTTTTATCCAATTAAAAATTTTTCTGGAAATAAGAAAAATTTAAAGGGTATTAGGGTTTGAATTTGAGCTGGATTTTAGACTTTGAATTTTAAACTGGCTCTTTCTTGAAGGATTTGAATAGATTGAAGGTGTTAAGTTTACTAAATGATTGAAACATGATTGAAATTTAAATTGAGTTTGAAAGATTTAATGATTGATTGGAAAGTTTATGGATTGAGCTATTGGCAATCATTGGATGATTGCCAATAATTAAGTGATTGAAATAAATTAAAATATTTAAGCATGGTGAATGAATTAGGATGACTAAAAAGTTTTAATGGCCTTTTATTGCATGATAACTATTGAATGATTGAACATCATTAAATATTTTAAAAGTAATTAAAAATTAATCTTTATTGATTGAATGATTGAAGTTTACTAATTGAGTATTAGAAATTAATTAAAGTTGAATGATTAAAAATATGTGATGTTTAAATTTTAACTTTATACAAAAAATATGCCAGCGTTCTATCCATCATCTCTTGATTTCTCCTTCAAATATAAACACTGTCATTGGTATTTTCCTATTATCTAGACATTGCATACTATCAAATATATTCTCTATCCTCAAAAACCAATCTTCTTGTGGCTCTATAGATCCCTTGAATAGTGGGCGCTTCAACTTATGGAAAATATATTAATATTTATCTTCTTCAGTCTCCATGCTTCCAACCTGCCTATTGTTCTATGCATCACTCATTAGTTGTGCTGTCAAACTTGCAAAAGTATCTGCTATTAAAACTCACTAGGGCTATTGCACTATATTCATTTGGCATTTCAGGTGGATCTAGTGAACTCATCATAGTTCTCTTTTCTATCAAAATATAATTCAATCAGACATATACATGGAATGAATATAAAGAAAATAAACCTTAACATTATCCATTACTACATGTCTCAATGATTTTATATAGCTCTAGTTACAATTCAATTCTTTCAATAACCGTCGCTCTAATACTAGCAGTAATCCCCCAACATCAAAATTTGTAAGAATTTTTTATTTTATTATCTTAATTAATCAACTAAAGCTTCTATGATTTCATCAACATAAATTAATCTAGAAAAAGTAATTAAAAATCATATAAATCAAAATATAAAACTATATTTATTCCTCAAAATTCATATATAATAGTTAAGAGTTTAATTCATACATTCATCAATCTATCTTTTAGCTCTTGATTATAAAAGAATAAAACTAAAAAAAAATGCAAAAATAAAATAAAATCTAAATCCCAGATCTATTCTTACTTCACTATTTCCTAGCTTCTTTCTAAACAGATATAAAACTAAAGAGTGAGCTAATATCTCAATAGGTTACCAGAACCTATAATTGAAATCAATGTAAGGTAATAGAAATACTATGCATTTAATCATTCAATTACTATTAGTATGAATATATAACTGTAAAAATAAGTAATAATTAATGAAATAATAATAGGTCATATAATCATTAAAAAAGTACAATGTATACCGTAAGAGCAGTGATCATTAATCGATAACCATATATAATTGGGCAATAAACTCTATCATTTCTATACTTATTTTATCTCAATTCAGAAATTTTATATACCTTTCATATTCATATGCATGTCATACAATGTCAATATTATGCATGTATCATATATCTTATTCTAATATAATATAACATGTTAGTGCAATATATAATGTATGTTGTATAATCCATATGCATCATATATTCATGTATCATGTAGTTCATGTGATTCATAATCAATGATTCAAATATATAATTTGATCTTGTATTATCTTATTATATATATGTATTAATCATATCTTGTATCATATATAAATTATGGCATATCATGTGGTTTATGCAATCTATTTTAAATGCTCCTATCAAATATATATGTAAGCAATGAAATCAATGTAAGTAAGATATGACACATGGCTGCTTATGGTGTTTTCTTATATACAGTCCTA